GATTAAATGTATAAGTAACTTTATAGCATAATCACTAGGAAACAACTTTCATAATAGTTATTTGAAGCCATATCAGGTTGAGATTTAACAGGAATGATAATATCTTATATAATTAGAGTCAGCATAGATTATGGGGGCTTCAAGTGGCTGCTGAAAATAATTAATTTTCCATATAAAATGAAAGATGATACTGAAGGCTTATAGTAAAAGGTGATTACTTGATTATGCCCATATCCCTTGACTTTGCTGGAATAATTTGTTTCTTACTTGTGTATGATCAGAAAATCTTATAAATATCAGTGACTTAAGCATAACTCTAAATATCAGAGAAGATACAGCTTGAGTTTCTAAAAAGGTAATTGGAAAGTTTCCCAATGTCTCTGCTGTATAAGCTTCAGGCAGTATAGTGATAATTAATAAAGTGCCAGACTGGATAATTGTAAGAACTGTAAAAGATACTAAAATGTTACCAGAGGCATAGGCGCACCTGTGAAGGTGTGAAGTTAATTTGTGTGAGGAACATTGCATGAGAGTGAAAGGGACAAGGGAGGTGAGACTTTCTTTAAATAATTCAGACTTCAGACAAGGATGCTCTCTTAAAAATTAAAAGAAAGCCCTGATATGGAAACAATGCAAAACTTACGAAATCATTTTCCCTCTATTTCATGCTGCCTTTTCTCATTAAATTTTTTTAAAAAAAGTAGACTTACAGTGTTGATTTTTTTATCACCATAGGGTTTATAACATTGTGTTTAACAATTTTTAAATAGCAAAATAGTATGTTAACTATATAGCAGTGCACGTTTTTATATTATAATGTTCAGAGATGGACAGCAACGATAGTATAGGGGGTTAAGGAACCTGTGGACAGCTAACCACTGTTAATTCCCAGGACCACAGTGTCCATTGACCACCTCTAAGGGTCACTCCTGAGCACAGTGCTAGAAATTGCCCTAAACACTGCCAGGTGTGGTACACCCCCAAAAATACCTAGATAATTTGATTTTCTTATTGTCACCTCAAATTTTCAGCAGGTAAGCTCTATCAAATGGTAATAAACTGTAAGACAGTTATAGAAAAAATATAGAATTAGGTAAGGATAATTACCTCAAACTGTGAAGTTTTGATAATTTCAAAACAATCCAAATATATTTTATGCTAGATACTGATCACTGATTGATCTAGTATTGCTATTGTTTATTGTTACTCTAAGAACACTTTCCTGACATAGGGCTGGAGCGATAGCACAGCGGGTAGGGCGTTCGCCTTACAAGCGGACAACATGGCCGACCCCAATTCAATTCCTCCGCCCCTCTCGGAGAGCCCGGCAAGCTACCGAGAGTATTCGATATGCCAGACACAGTAACAACAAAGTCTCCAATGGAGACGTTACTGGGCCCGCTAGAGCAAATCGACGATCAACGGGAGGGCCTTTACCTTTACCTTTTACTGATCACTGATTGATCTAGTATTGCTATTGTTTATTGTTACTCTAAGAACACTTTCCTGACATAACCTGGGTTACTGCCACTCCTATTTAACACTGTCCCTAACTTTCCAATGTTAGTACAAGTCCAAATTGTTCTAAACAAGGTTAAAAATTTAGCAATGACTGCTCCCTTCAGTTTTCCGATTAAAACACTGTGTTACAAAGCTATCTGCATTTATGTCAAATTTGAATACTAGTTGGCTGCTCATATAACCTCCTATTTGAGACTTGTTTGATTGAAATGGAAAGAACTATAATTGCTGTTTAATCATACCGAATTGAAAGGGAGACTCAGTTGGTGATGGAACTATGGTCTCTAAAAGGCCCACAAGCACTCTCTGTTATTGTTGAGTTGAATCTTGCCGCCTCCTGCCTCCTGATACATTGATACGTTGCTAACAAGAAAGATTTCTAAATCATGTTCAGATATTTTCACCTAGAAATACAGAGAAATTGGAAATTAGAACAACTGTGCAGTTCAGTTGAATTAACCAGTGGTCAAAGATAGTTTTTCATATCTGGCTAGAGTTCCCTACTCCCTGATTTTCAGGTAGGATGTAAAGATTATCCTTCTGAACTGTAATTGGTTAGATCATTCTTCAAGTGAGGGACATCCATTTAGAATTTGTATCTTCCATCTTCCATATTTTATTCATATTATTAGCATAAATAAAGAACCAATAAGAGGAAGTAGTTATTTATAAAAGGAGAAACACCAATCGCTTGGGAGTTCCCGGCATTTTAAATATTCTGTGCTAAAGGGGAAAGAGAACTAGTATAGTTGGTAGGGCACATACACATGGCTGATCCAGTTCAATCCTTGACACCACATATGATCCTCCAAGACAGCAATGAGTGGTCCCTGAGAGCAAAGTAAGGTGTAAATCCTGAGCACAGCTGAGCACAGTACCACTGTTCACCCCTCCAAAAAACTTTTATTCTGGGAAGTTGTGGGAAATATCAAATATATTTGTTATATTCCTCGGCCCCTCTCGGAGAGCCCGGCAAGCTACCGAGAGGATCTCGCCCGCATGGCAGAGCCTGGCAAGCTCCCTGTGACGTATTCGATATGCCAGACACAGTAACAACAAAGTCTCCAATGGAGACGTTACTGGGCCTGCTCGAGCAAATATGTATATATATACTTTGTAAAATATTAATATTTTTCATTCAGCTTACTATATTTTTCATTATATATGGATTTCTCTAAGATAAAACCAAGTTCACAGATTTGGTTCTTCATGAAAATCATTTGGAAACTACCTACGCAATAGTTGTATTTAATTATTTATAGATGTGTTTCTGAATAAAAAAAACTATACATATTAGTATTATTAAAATTAAGTATTTATATTTTGCTTTTATTTTGTAGGTTCTGATGCATCTAGATATTCTGGACCTTTAAAAAATGATAGTCAAGTATATAGAATATGACATTTAAATAATTTTTTTTACTCTGATGTATTTTTTTTTTTAACTTACTTATTGAATCACTGTGAGAAAATTACAAAGCTTTCAGGTTTAAGTCTCGGTCATACAATGATCAAAAACGGATCCCTTCACCAGTGCAGATTTTTTACCACCAAGAACTTCAATAACCCCTTTGCAACTCTCCCTACGCCTGTGAGGCAGATGATTTCTACTTAACTCTCTCTCTACTTTGATTGCATTCATTATTTTGACAAAAGATGCACCATTATTATTTGAAACTTCCCCCAAATAATCAGAACTGCTGAAAAGGCATTGTGAAATAATTTGTTTTCTATTGCTGGTTATGAAGACCATGTGATGTCGCACGGCTGCTATTGCTGCTGCGCGATTTTGGATTTCTGATATTTTATTAATAAAGTCTGGAGGGATTTCTGCCAAAAGCCGGATAATTATGAGATTGGTTTGTGTTCTTCTGAGGCCATGGCCTCTGCCAGAGAGCTGCTGGGGGAGGAGGGGCTCAACTCGTGGCCTTGGTAGGATGTGAAGGACATGCCAGTTCCGCTTCCCCATACCATGAGGCTGAAGTTGCCCCATCACTGCCGGTTCATACCTGACTGTCCAGTAAGCTCTGAGGCAGCAGCCACCATGCTGCGGCGGGGGCGGGGGGGGGGGGGTGAAGAAGGCGGAAGAGATAGACACACTTTCCATTCCGGGGTGGGGGGGGGGGACAGCACTGTGGTTTAATGCATGGTCCATTCACATTTCTGCCGCAAGCTGCTGGGTTCTGAATTAGGTCTGGGGCCATGGCCGTGCAGGAGAGCAGGTCATGGGGGACAACTCATGACGTTGGTAGCGCATGAAGGATGTCTCTGATGTGTTTCTTAACATGATTTAGTCCTTTCTGATGTCAAGTCTGTCAATTATAAAATTATAGGCTCAGAAATTAAAGATCAGATCAAATGTGTATGCACATATATACCTACATCCATATGCACACAATTTAAATGTCTATGTTTATTTTATATATAAAGAGTACTTATATACAGACATAAATACATAATGATCAGTTGTGCATTGGCATATTATTTTTGGCTTTTTGGGTCACACCCAGTGATGCATAGGGGTTACTCCTAGCTCCGCACTCAGGAATTACCCCTGGCGGTGCACAGGGGACCACATGAGATGCTGGGAATCAAACCCGGGTCGGCCACATGCAAGGCAAATGACCTACCCGCTGTGCTATTGCTTCAGCCCCTGCATTGGCATTTTAACCTGTTTCCTCTAATCATTTCCTTGAAGAGATTTTATTTTGTATCTCCTTTTAGCTATTATAAGTGCAAAATTATAAAGATAGAAAACATGACACAAAGAATGTCTTTTCCTTTTAATTTATCCAACAAAAAGATTCAAAAGTGTTTAAGTTACTTAAAAAGTTAACAGGGTTATGGCAATTTGGGTTTATTTTCATACATAAAGTATTAGTGTATTATTGTAGTGAAAGCATGTAAAGCAATTTTCAGAGTAGGTTTTCCCATTTCTTTATAAATTTTTTAACAGTATAATAAGTAGTATTATCTTTTATGTCCAGGGCTGCTATGCTGCATTCACCATCTGAGTGTCTAGATCCTTCCACAATTCAGTACTCTTTTGTCGTAGTTCAATTGAAAGTGTTTATCTTTTCTTTCTGACTCATTTCACTTTTTTTGCTACAGCCAGTGATGTTCTGTGGTACTTAGGGAACCATGTGGTTCTAGGAATTGAACAAGGACAGCCTCATGCAGGGCAAGCACCTTGACTTTAGTACTCTTTCTCCAGCCACAGTACATTTTTGTTCTTTTTTATAAAATAAATGTTTGATATAACATTTGCAATTGTTTGACAATGAAACCACACAGGAATATTTGGATATGCATACTTATAACTGGGATAAAATGTCTATTTCCTACTCATCGTGAAAATAAAGACATTTGGAATATTTTTGAATACAAATGTTAAGTGCATTTTAAACTCCTTGTTTATTATTAATATTATTAACATTATTTGATTATTATTTGATTATTATTATTTTTTTAACTTCTAGGTTATCTTCAAAGCATCAAAACATTCAGTTTCACCGGATTTAAAATATGTTCTTCTGGCATATGATGTCAAACAGGTAAAGGGGAGATAATTTGAATGAATGTTTCTTTATGATTAATTTAGGTACAGTGCTATTTTTTACTTAGTCATCTATCTGTTTGCCTAAAATTGTTTGGAATATTCAGATGTAAGTCATATGGGTGGCCAATAATGGACAAGAAAGATTTGGAGAATATTTCTTTTTCTTGCAAAAAGCTCGTACAAACTGCATTTTCTTTGCTGATCCAATACCATTTCTTTGAAGGTGGAATGTGGTATGATTAAATGGAGTTTTGCTCTTTTAGCAATGAATTTATGACATAATTGAGTATTTTGTAGATGCATACATTAAGGAATTACATTATGACTGTGCTTTGTGTGGGAAGGGAATTGTAGGGAAGTGAAATGTTGATTGATATTATGGACAGTGGCTTGCTGGTGGTATTTGAATATAAGCCTCGTGAAGTTTTACAAGTTCTGAAACCAGATAAAGACCCCATATTTCAAAATTCTTAAGAAATAAAATGTTCTAATTGCAACTATTATTTCATTGCCCCATGTCAACTCTGGAGAGCACAGTTAGAGAAATATATTTGACTACTGAACATTTTGTGCTTTAAAGTTGCACAATTAAAAATCGGAAAATATTGAAAACACCATTCAGCAGGTTACTTTCTTTAGAGAGTAATTTATTGGAAATCATTCAACAAAATTTTATGTGTTTTAAGATGGACAATAAAAATTTATGGACTTAAGGCAGGAAGCCTCATATAATGCATTAAATGTTTTTGAACATATGAAATCTCACACTTCAAAGGATTTTCTATCTGACGGCTTTTAGTCTGTGGCAACAGGCATATAGTATATTTTGTGCATAGTTTATAATTTAAATAATTAATTTCAACTATAGTTGTGTCACATTATAAATTTTGACTTTTTTACTTAAATTTTACCCTGTGTTATCTCTGTTTATTAGTATTTCTAAAAACCAAATTAAATAGTAAAATTATGAGCTAGTTTTTTATAAATAAAATATGACAAAGTGTCCAGAATTAAAATAATTTGAATTTAAATATTTCATTTAATAATTTTATTTTCACTTGAAAGTGTTTCTTAATATTTCAGAAATTGATGATATATTTTTATAAATATATTATTGAGGGCTGAAGAGATAGTTCTACAAGTTGAATGCTTGTTTTACATGTGAGAGTCCCAGAATTAGTCCCTAGGGCCACATGGTTCCAGAACTCTGCAGTGTGTTATCTTTAGACACAGAGCAGAAGTACCCTGGTAGCACTTCCAAGTATGACCCCAAAACCACATTGATGAGCAACTAATACTATAATTCTCTATTTAGTATAAAAATAAAGACCCCAAGGGAACAAAAGAGGAATAGACACATTAATGAGATAGGATTGATAACCTAGAAATACATCCATAAAATAGACCTTTGACAATGGTGCAGAAGAAATTCAGTATAATTAAGTAACATTGCCAACCAATTTCATGGCATAAGTAGGCATTTATTAGCAAAACTAACAAATATAGATTGGGCTAAGTTTCTGTCAATGTAAAATGAAAAGGAATTACAGCAGCATTTAGTAGATAAATCTATAAAAATTTTTGAAAAACGAGAGAAAATCATTGGTATCTAGAACAACATAGACTTAAACTGTACATCAAAATCACAGAGTATGCCTGGGAGTATTGTTCTGTGGTAGAATGTATGCGTGGGACACTCAGTGTTTAATTTCTGGCACTGTAAAAATAACCATAAAAATTGTTATAAATAAATAAATAACTTGATATAAACAGTCATACCTCAGAAGCTTTGCAAATTTTGTTCCGTATAACAATAAAACGAATATAGTGATAGAGGAAAGCATTGCAATTATTTGGTTTCCCAGTGCATATGAAAGCCATAGTTTCACTATACTATGGTTATTAAGTGTGTAATAACATTATGCATAAAATATATTCATAACTTAATTTTTAATGTATTAATTGGTTTTGAAAAGGCATCCACTGAGACTTTGGTGAGTGATGATCTTGTTGCTGGTGGAGGAGGGGACTTACTTTGATATTGCTAGTTGCTCCTCTATTTGGTTTTGAGGTCATACTTAATTGCTGAGTTGTTAGATGGTGCTTACTTAATGGAATTTGCAGTGGCTGTGGCAATATCTTAAAATATACTACATGACATTTACTGCACTGATGAGCTTTTCAGGAAATCTGTCCATCCTGCACAAAATGCTGTTTGATGGCATTTAACCTTTTGTAAACTGGAGACTATCCATTCTGCCGTGCCCTTTGCTTATTTATATTTTCAAGTCTCTCCTGTTCAAGTTTCATCAGGAGATTCCAGCCATTGAGTCCCATCTTTGGGATCTACTTCAGTTCCAAAACTTTCTCTTGACATTTTTGCTGCATTTGTACTTTTTCTACTTAAGTATTGAATGCAGCAGAGTTATCTGAAAGTTGGAATCACATTTTTCTGGAGCAATAGCACAGCGGTAGAGTGTTTGCCTTGCATGCAGCCAACATGGCCAACCCGAGTTCGATTCCTCCGTCCCTCTCGGAGAGCCTGGCAAGCTACCGAGAATATCTCGCCCACGCAGCAGAGCCTGGCAAGCTACCCGTGATGTATTTGATATGCCAAACACAGTAACAAGTGTCACAATGGAGACGTTACTGAGCCCGCTCGAGCAAATCGATGAGCAATGGGAGGACTGTGACCGTGACCGCTGTTCTGTTAATAACATTGGGGTCAAAACTGGCAGTACTTAAGTGATGCTCAAATTATGTGCTAAGGGGTTGCTCCCTGTGGCGCTTGGGAACTCATGCAATAATGGGGACTGACACGGACCCATGGATGCAAGTGTGTGTTCCAGCCCATTGATCGTCTCATGAGCAATTGATGTTGATGTTTGCATCTCCATGAATCATTTTTTTTTAGATTGTTTTAATGGCACTTGGGATGATGAATACTTTCCAGAAGGTTTTTATTTCCCCCATCCAGATCTGACAAAGGAATCCTACCTGTAATAAACTTAAGAATGTTCTTAAGTAATAAACTAAAGAATATATTTTTTTGGCTTTTTGGGTCACACCTGGCGATGCACAGGGGTTACTCCTGGCTCTGCACCCAGGAATTACCACTGGTGGTGCTCAGGGGACCATATGGGATGCTGGGAATCGAACCCGGGTCAGCCGCATGCAAGGCAAACGCCCTACCCACTGTGCTATTGCTCCAGCCCCAAGAATATATCTTATTCTTAAGTAATAAACTAAGAATATGCTTATTAAGTAATGAGGCATACATCTAAATGATCCCTTTGTCCATGAACTTCAGAATGAATGTTTTATAACCATACATAAAACAGTATTTTTTCCTTGAAAATCTCAATGAGAACTAAAAGATTCCCCAGTACATTATAAATGGTGACGTTTTAGAAGGAAACTTTCTTCCTTCTTTCCCTCCTCCTTTCCCTTCTTTCTTCCCTTCTTCCTTGGCCCCCCCTCCTTACTTCCCTCCTTCCTTCCTTGCAGTTTCCCTCAACTATGGATTTTAAATATTCATTAAATAACGTTGTAAGTAGATATGCTGGATAGATCATCAAACCAATTAAAATATTTATTTTAGCCAAAGCTTAATATAAGACAATACCTTAATTTCTTTAATTTTTTGGCAGTCGATAGACTTGAAAAAACTGCTGAACAAAAGTTTGAAATCAGCAGAGAATGGTCATGAGGTATAAAAAAAGAAGCATATACAAATAAAAGTACAAATTAAAGCAGCATGTGAACTATAGCTGAGTCAAGTTATTCAAAACATATAGTTAAGCTCATGAATAAATGTGGTTAACCCTCCAGAAAAGGAAAAAAAAAGATTTTTTAATTATAGAATAAACAGATTTGTAGCAGAAGGTTATGCTGCTCAAACATAAATTGAGAGGAAAAACTAAGACCAAAGTGCTATCTTATCTGGGAAAGGCAAAGTAATGAAGAAATATTTTGTTTAAGAGAACATACAGATGTCAATCAAGCACATAACACTTTGTTCAACATTGTTAGTAACTATATAAGTCAAAATTATTTAAATATTTGAATATCAATGTGTACTATTAGGACAAAACACACACTAAAGTGACCATAGCGAATGATGGCAAACATGCAGAAAACTGAATTTTCATACATACATCACTGAAGGTACAAGTAGTCTCAAATATAATGCACATGATTAGATTAACTTTAATATTTCAGTGAGATGCAGGGTTATATAGCAAATTGAACAAAAAGAACACATAACTATGCAAGTATTTTGTAGTCTCTTTATCTGTTTCTTTCTTTGTTTTTGTCTCCATTTCTCTCAGTTGAAAATATTCTTTGAACATGTAAATAGTAAACCAAATGTCAAAATCACATTTCATTAATACATTTTATTTGTGATAATCTATCAAACACAAACTGGGTATTATCAATGAGCTGTGAATGTGTGTGTATATATATACATATATATATACTCATGTTGAAACTTATCATGAAAAACATATTTTCAGTCAAAGGTCGATGTATCAAATACTTGTATTCACTGCATCTAAGACTGACTGCCATGTCATAAGAATGGTAACATTATAAATTAGAGAAATTTTCTATTCAAAACAATCATAGTGGAGAAAAGGAAATATTCAGTGTTTTGAAAGTAAAAGTCACAAAAATTAAGAATTTAAAAATGCTCAGATTGGCAGACAATATGGTACTTCATTAAATTAGTTTTAAGTCTTGGAGTCTAGTAGACAATCCAGTCTAATTATACCACAGGTTGGCATTTTAGAGGAATAAATAGTCCCCACAATTTGATTGAACTCATTTTTTTAAAAATTTTATTGAATCACTATGGGATAGTTATAAGCTTTTGTGTTTGGGCTACAACCACACAATGATCAAACACCCATCCCTCCACCAGTGCACATTCCCCATCACCAATATCCCCAGTATAATCCTCCTTTCCCACTCTCCCCCTGCCTCCATGGCAGA